CAAAACCCCAAAACCCCAAAACCCCAAAACCCCAAAACCCCAAAACCCCTCCAATATTATTTTTATTGGAAACCTTAGATAATAAAATATATTAAAATGAACTCTCCAGGCCAAAATAGTGATGAAGACTTCATCACTTCTATCAATTATCACAAGCAAGATGATCTAGAAGAAAGTAAAGATGAATTATCAGTGGGTCTTCAGAAATATAGCACTGATGAGAGTAGTGACAACTCAACAGACTCTGGAACAGGAAGTAATCTCTCTACAATCCCAGACAAATCAGAATATTTCTCTTCCAAAGTTTCGTATCAAAGAAGAGCATTAATTAGGAAGAGTATATCTCTACAACTTAGACAAATTGGAACAAATGTATGACAACTATTGACTCCAATCATTTCTCTTTTGTTGATAATACTGTTGAAGAGTATTGCTCAGTCTAGACTTTCTGAATCTATGAATGCTCCTATTTATAGTGGGTTGCCATATATTTTCAATATTCCTCTTGTTCCAGTAGGCCAACTTGGGCTTCTCTTCAATCTATCAAACTGTGATCAGTGGTACATGTATGGCTTTCAAGATGACGTAGACCAAGAGACAAGAGACTTTTTTGGATATAACAAAGGTACTCCAATCTTTGATCCAGAGTCTAAAGGAATTCTTGATGGAGACAAGAATGTTCTTCAGACAGCTTGACCAAGTTCTGAAAGAGCTACTCCATATTTCAAAGAAAAGAATGCAAGTGAGACTATCAATCAATATTTATTCAACACACTAGAGCATTTGAACACTCAAAAGATCAATTATAAGGATATGGATAGCGAAGTTCCTGATATTTGGATGCTTCCTGATGGCGCATTTAATGTTTATAAAGCTAATGAGTCAAGACTGGAATATAACGTTCAAGTAAATGACCTCAGATATATTCAATACCATAGAAACAATGGGGTTACGAAATTGGGGATACAAAATCCTCTTTCTAATAAGACAAGTTATTTCATAAATGCTGTTCAGGGTCAAATTTCAGCAGTTGATCTAATGAACAAAGCTTATATATCGAAACTCTTCCCAAATACCTTTATTTATAGTGGAGTTCAAATAATGCCTATTTCTTTTTCATTCGACCAAGAGATTATGAAGGTTATAAACATGCTCGGAGGAGGCTTGTTTCCCATATCCCTTTGCCTCATGCTGCCTGTGTTCATCTACAATATTGTTCTCGAGAAAGAGCAAAAACTTGTTGAGATCATGAAAATGAATGGTCTAAGGATGCGCAATTATTGGATTATCACATTTATCTTCAACTTCATCCTCTACTTCATCACTTGCTTTGTGTTCATCATGTTTGGACGATTTGTTCTAGGATTAACATTCTTTTATGAAACTAGCTATCTTGTTCTGATAATATTCCTATTGGGATGGGGATTATCTCAGATATCATTGGGATTTTTCTTTTCTGCATTTTTACGTACAGCTCAAACAGCCTCGATGCTAGGATATCTAATATCTATTTGGGTAACATTAGTTGCGGTATCTCTCAACATTACTCTATTTGCTCCTCCCCAAGAAGTCTCGTGGTGGCTTCTTCTCTATCCAACCTTCCCTTACACTAGGTTCTTTTTTGAGATATCCACTGCCTGAGGTTTGTCTTCATGAATTCGTAGTTTTAATGACTTAAGTCCTGAGGCTACCAGATGACTTTGGATTCTGTATGTAGAAGCTGCAGTGTTTATGATTTTTGCTTTCTACTTTCAACAAGTGATCCCACAAGATTATGGAGTGCCCAAACATCCATTATTTTGCTGCAGAGCTCTCAAATATAAAAAGAAATCATCCATAACGACACGGGAGAAAATTGAATTTCTAAATAGACAAGAAAGTGATTTAAAAAACATTGCTGATGATTCAGAATTAGCCCAGTTAGAGGATGATGATGCAAAGAAGGAGAGAAAGACTGTGTATGAACTCCCTGAGGAAGATTATTATAAGTACCCATTGATTGTCAAAGACATCAGGAAGGTATATCCAGGGATAGACGGAAGACCACCCAAAGTTGCTACAAAAAAATTTTGACTGAAAATTAAGAAAGGCGAAGTTTTCGGACTTTTGGGTCCCAATGGAGCTGGTAAAACTACTCTAATTTCAATGCTGACCGGACTTTACAGGCCAGATTCAGGAAATGCTTGGACAGCAGGTTTTGACATTAAAAATAATTTGGAACAAATTCAGCTCCAAATGGGAGTGTGACCTCAATTTGATATTCTCTGGCCTGATCTTACTGTACAAGAACACCTTTTATTCTATGCCAGACTCAAAGGGATCTCTCCCAAAGAAGAGTCCAGCATGGTCAAAGAAGCGATGCAAGATGTGTTCCTCGAGAAGTTTGCCAAGTTCAAAGTCAACCAGTTGTCTGGAGGAATGAAGAGGAGGCTCTCCGTAGCCATCAGTTTGGTTGGAGACCCCAAAATTGTGTATCTAGACGAGCCTTCGACAGGGCTGGACCCTGAGAACAGGAGGCAATTGTGGGATATTCTGAGCGGCATCAAAGGAAAGAGATCGTTGGTAATCACGACCCACTCGATGGAAGAAGCTGATGTTCTGTGCCAACGAATTGGAATAGTTTCAGATGGTGTTTTGAGATGAGTAGGACCACAAGTTAGACTAAAAACTCTGTATGGCGGAGGATATCACTTGTTTGTAAATTGACATAAATCTAAATACTTAAGAGAATTGAAGCGTGAAGCAAAAAGGAGAGCTAAAGCTTCTAGCCATAATACGACTAGAGAAGAAAGCAAAATTAAAATGGAAATCAATAAAACATATGATTTGAATCAAATCCATTTAAGGTTAAAAGAATTCATCCAAGAAACCGTTCCAAACGTATATCTATTACAAGAATTTAATGGCAACTTCACTTTCCAAATTCCTATTGAAGGCTTTAATGCTGAAAAACTATTCTTAGAAATGGAGAGCAACAAAGAAGATCTCATGGTTTCTGATTGGGGAATTTCTCAATGTACTTTGGATGATGTATTCACAAAGATTTGCACTCCAAAAGAAAACTAACTAAGTTCTGTTCACTTTCTATCTAACAAATGACTTTAGGGGTTTTGGGGTTTTGGGGTTTTGGGGTTTTGGGGTTTTGGGGTTTTGGGG